CGATAGACCTAGTACTGATCGCTATGGGTGATGTCTGTGTCATTGTGGGCATGGACTGGTTGAGTCGATTTTGAGTTATGATAGAATACCAGCGTTAGTTCGTGACTATACGAGAACCTAGTGGGGGAGTACTTACGGTGTACGACGAGGGTACTAGGCCTGAGTCGGCTTTCTGCTCTGCTGCCCGAGCGATATAGAGTTTACAGCAGGGATGCATGGGGTATATGGCATATGCGATTGATACACGGGTTGCTACTGAGAGAATGAGTTGTATCTATGAGTTTTCGATTGAATGTGAGTTTGAGGATGTGTTTCCCGAAGAGTTGATAGGTTTTCCACCTGAGAGACAAGTGGAGTTTCGGTTTGATGTGATCCCAGGAGAGGCACCTGTTGCCAAGGCACCCTATAGCATTGCGCCGCCAGAGATGCAGGAGTTAGCCTCTCAGCTCTAGGAGCTAGTGGGGAAGGGGTTCATTAGACCAAGTAGCTCACCGTGGGGAGATATGATCCTTTTTTTCAAGAAAAAGGATGGTGCACACCGTATGTGTATTGACTACCGGGAGTTGAACAAGTTGAAGGTAAAGAACCGTTATCCACTTCCGAGGATCAATGACTTGTTCGATCAGTTGCAGGGTGCATCTTGGTTTTCCAAGATTGACTTAAGGTCTGGTTATCATCAGATGAGGGTTCGTGATGAGGATATTTAGAAGACGGCCTTTCAGACTCATTATGGGCATTACGAGTTTGTGGTGATGCCTTTTGGACTCACCAATGCACCGGCAACGTTCATGGAACTCATGAACGGGTGTGCAGGCCCATGTTGGATCAATCAGTGATTGTGTTCATCGACGATATTCTGGTATACTCAAGGACTAGGGAACAACATGAGGAGTACCTCAGAGAGATTTTGGGAGTTTTGAGATCGGAGAGGCTATATGCCAAGTTCTCCAAGTGTGAGTTCTAGTTACGGGAGGTCCAGTTTCTAGGACACCTCATTAATCAGAAGGGGATTTTGGTCGACCCGGCCAAGATTGAGGCAGTTATGCGATGGGAGGTACCGAGATCTCCATCTGAGATCAATAGTTTCTTAGGGTTGGCCGGCTATTACCGAAGGTTTATTAAATATTTCTCTGAGATTGTCTTTCCACTCACCAGATTAACCCGGAAGGGTGTTGCTTTTATTTGAGGTTCCGAGCAGTAGACCTCGTTTAAGAACCTTCGGCGAGACTGTATGAAGCCCCGATGTTAGCCCTTCCAGAGGGAGTGGAGGACTTCGTAGTTTTCTGTGATGCATCTATATCGGGACTGGGTGCAGTTCTGATGCAGAGGGGGCATGTGATAACATACGCATCGAGGCAGTTGAAGCCTCATGAGACAAGATATCCTACCCACGATTTGGAGCTGGGGGCAGTGGTGTTCACCCTCAAGATTTGGCGTCACTATCTGTATGGGGTTCGTTGCACCATTTACACATACCATAAAAGTCTGAAATATCTTCTGGACCAGCTCAATCTTAATATGAGGCAGAGGAGGTGGTTGGATGTGGTAAAGGATTATGACTGTGAGATTTTGTATCGCCTGTGCAAGGCTAATGTGGTAGCTGACGCCTTGAGCCGTAGAGCAGAGTGTGCTCCGATCCTATACATATGTATGAGGATGACGGTGATGACTCCAGTCTTAGATACCATCCGGGAGGCCCAGGCGGAGGCTGTAAGACCAGAGAACCGTAAGAGGGAGTGGGTGATTGGGCAGGTATCTGCATTTGTGACGGATAGCCGAGGGCTTTTGACTTTCTGAGGGCGGATTTGGGTGCCCTATATGGGCGGAGCTCGGAGTATATTAATGGAGGAGGCGTATAGGTCGAGGTTCCCGATCTATCCCGGGGCCACTAAGATGTATTTAGACTTGAAGAGGGATTATTGGTGGCCCTGTATGAAAAGGGATGTTGCGTGGGTAGTTGAGAGGTGTTTCACCTGCCGTCAGGTCAAAGCAGAGCATCAACGTCCACATGGTCCATTGCAGCCTCTGGAGATTCCTTGGTGGAAGTAGGAACAGATCTCCATGGGCTTTATTACCAAATTACCGAGGATTGCGCGTGGGGTCAACACAATTTGGGTAATCGTGGACCGACTAACGAATAGTGCTCACTTTCTTGCTATTAGTGAGAGCTCTTTGGCGGAGAAATTAGACGAGATTTATGTGAAGGAGGTGGTGTCTCGGCACGGGGTGCCGGTTTCAATAGTGTCAGACCGAGATGTGCGTTTCACCTCTAGATTCTGGGGGAAATTTCACGAGGAGTTAGTTACACGTCTGCATTTCAATACCGCATACCACCCACAGATAGATGGGCATAGTGAGTGGAAGATTCAGACACTCGAGGACATGTTGCGTGCCTGTGTTTTAGACTTTGGAGGGAGTTGGGACACATACTTGCCTTTGGCTGAGTTTTCATACAACAACAGTTACCATTCGAGCGTAGGCATGCCTCCTTTCGAGCTGTTATAAGGAAGGAGGTGTTGGACTCCCATTTAATGGGAAGAGGTGGGTCAGAGAGTGATGTGTGGCACTGAGATAGTGCTCAAGATGACTGAGCAGATTCAGCAGGTTAGACAGAGGCTACTGACGGCCCAGAACCGCCAGAAGAGTTATGCAGATATACGACGTTCCGATTTGGAGTTCCAGGTTGGAGATTTTGTTCTCCTGAAGGTATCCCCTTGGAAGGGAGTGATCCGATTTAGGAAGAGGGGCAAGTTGGGGCCCTGATACATTGGTCCTTTTAGAGTGATTGCCAGGGTGGGCAAAGTGGCCTACCGGTTGGAGCTGCCTGCTAAATTGAGCCAAATCCATAACACCTTCCATGTGTCCCAACTGAGGAAGTGTGTAGCCGACGAGACGACAATAGTTTCATTGGAGGGCATTCAGGTTGATGCGATCCTAAAATATGTTGAGACGATTATTGCAATTTTAGATCGGAAGGTGAAGATTCTGAGGAACAAGGAAGTGCCCCTGGTGCAGGTTCAGTGGCAACATCGGAGGGGATCCGATTTTACTTGGGAACTGGAGTTGGAGATGCGAGAGCAGCATCCTAAGCTATTTTTGGAGCATGACTTTGAGGGCGAAGTCATATTCTAGCGGGGGAGAATTGTAACATCCAGTTTTCCAGGTATAATATTTTATTATTTTAATTTGAGAATTTCAGAGGGACTCGACAAGTTGGTGCCTCAACTCGTCAAGTAGGGACACGGTTGATGACACAAATAAATGACTAGACTCGACGAGTCGGAGAGCTAACTCTCTGAGTCAGCGCTGATGAGGTAAACCCTAATATTCTGGGTCTGAGGCCTATATAAGGACCTTATGGCCTCCCATTGCGGCCATATCTTCCAGAGAGAAACCCTAGAGAGCCATTGAGCGAGTAGAGTGTGTGTGAGAGAGAGAGAGAGATAGCTACTTTGAGATTATTAGTATAACTTTTGCAAGAGAGAAGAGATTTCAACCTAGAAGATAAAAGGAGGCTGCTAGATTTGAAGATCTCATTCAGAGGACTTTAATTGGAGGTATTATATTCGACCCTTTCTTTCCTCAATGGTGTAGATATATTATTTTGGGGGTTAGGGTTTGTAATACCTTCTTGAATAGGGTTTTGGATGCATCCAATTCCCTTTCTAATCTTGTGTTGTAGATCTGGACCTTCTGAGGTCCAGAGAGCCCGAAAGTAGGAAGTTATGGTTGTGTAACCACGGGGTTTTGGAGCTTGAGAGCGTTAATGGAGTATTGATGGTTTATAGAGCAATATACACCATGCATGGAGCCCAAGTTAGGACCTTTACGTGACTTTCGGATGCTAGGAGGCTACATCTATGGTTTAGAGTTGCAGATCTGACCTTAGTCAATCAAATGAGAGGATTGTTCAGATGAATCGCCGAATCCATGAAGCGACTCGACGATTCGGATCGGGTTTGACCCAGAGACAAGTCGTCGAGTTAGGAGTCAACTCGACGATCTGAGTGAATGCCGGTGAGAACAGTGAAGAAACGCGATTGGACTTGCCGAGTCACATGGGTGAACTCAGCGAGTCAGGTCAACTTTGTCTGTTGACTTTGTGTGTGGGTCATTTAGGGACTTCTTTTATATCTAGACGAGTATAAAGGTCTTTTACCTATCCTGAGGGTTAGGTAAACAAAGTCAACAATGTTCTTTTACCTATCCTGAGGGTAAACAAAGAGGACTTTATATAAAGGGGAAAAATAGTGTTCTTGATTGAGTTGTTCGTCTATATTGTTAGGTGGAGGCTATTCTGGATTACCACGTGTGTATCTATTTTCTACTAATCATGAGGTGAGTCTTCTCACTATACATACCGTGAAGGGTAACATACGTGTGACCGGAGGGTCTTATGTGCATGCTCTATGTTTGAGATATCGTATACTTTGATATTCTCTTTATTGCTTTGTGATATGTATGTTATGTTTATTTGAGTATTGAGCAAAGGGATCAGAGGATCCAATCTGAGTTGTGGACTGGAGGGTCCCATTGAGACACGTTGACTAGAGGGTCTTATTGAGTTACAACCTCGAGTGGCTAATGAGATGTGTGTGGTATTTTGGGGAACTCACTAAGCATTTATGCGTACCATGTTATGTGTTATGTGTTTTAGGTACTTCCGATGACCGTGGGAAAGCTCCGACATGATTGTATACCTGCATCGAGAAGGAGTGATGATCCTGGATTTAGAATAAATGTTTTTGGAAAACTTTATGAACACTTTTTGGAATTATGATATGACTTATGTTTTTATGAATTTAAAAACGAAAATTTGGATGAAAATTTTTGGTTGTTACACACACACACTATCTTTCTCTCTCTCTCTCTCTCTGGAAGTGTATCATCCTTTAATTCGTTGTTATGTTTTGTATTTCATTCAGTAGGTAGCGACTAGTGACTAGTCAATGAGTTTTCTTTCTCTCTTAAGGACCTTTTTGTCTTCTCAAATTACCACATTATCTATCCCTAGGTGAAGAGGCCTTTAGATCAATCAAATTTATCAAACAATTACAGAAAATAAAAACAAGAGGAATTCACGAAGAAAAGCTTTCACTAAGAAAGATAATCTCACAAAGAGATTATCGTGTGCACAAAGCAGCGATTAGGGTTTGTGAAAGGCGTAACCATTCACAAACCTATACAAAAGATTATATACTGCTATTCTAGACAATCCCTACAAATCAGGGATACGCCAGCTAACTAATTAGACTAACTATGGAAACAAGAGAAATACAAGATTTGTTACGATGCACTGAATAAACTAAACTATTACAAACTGAGCTGCTGACATGCTGATGCTGATACTGAGATATGCGCTGATGCTGAGTCTGTTTTAAACATTATCATATTTCAAGGTTTGACCTTACAATCTCCCGCAATATGATGATGTTCAAAACAAAATAAATTAAAACACCGCTGGACAGGAACTCTTCATACTCAGCTTCAGCTTCTATTTTTACTGGCCAGTAAGGACTATCCAGCAACTTCTGTCTTCTGTTCAGCAACTCCATGGCAATAAGAATGTGAAATTCTCCGGAGAGATCTTGATGGCTCATGCACATTTGCCTTAAGCCAACGAGATGAGTGGTTGGAGCCTTTGGAATCTCAGCAGTTCGCTGAAAACACATCTTTCTGTTTTTATCAAGATAGAACATCCCGTGCTCAGGAGCTGAGATAAACTTATGCTGAACCGGATCAACACTGATGGGAAGAGAATTGTTTATTCCACCAGCACCAAAGTCTAGAACCAATACATCTTCACCATCAACTTGAAACTTGGTTCTTCGAGTTCTAGGAGCAGATAACCTTTGGCCTTGATGCTGAGGTCGTTCTTTGGGAACAAGATCCAAACACTGAACTTTCTTGATCAGCAAATGAAGAGCACAAGTCAGTTCTGAAGAGTGAGCTGAGGTTTGCTTGGATGCTAGTTCAAGTAGTTCCATCCATTCAGAATATCCATACCTGATCAGCTCATCCCTCTTGACAACTTTAGTGTATGAATGCTGAGGACCTTGGCGAGTGATCAGCAGCATAAGGATTTTCTCATTTCGTGGTTTGGAAGCTTTAACTCTTATGATCTTATCACCACACTCGTCGATTAAGAACGTCTTCAAACCTCTTTCGATCAATCCTGTCAAGAACACTGTCAGTCTTAGGCTTACTACTGCTAGGAGAAGGTTGAGAAGATTGAGATTAAGTTTGTGCTGAATAAGAGATTCATCAGCTTGAGCAATGTTCTTTAGAAGCTGAGCTTGATTAGCTTCATCAAGAATTTGCTTAACTTGATCAGGAGACATGTTCCATTCAGCCGCAAGATTTGATATACTGACTATGGACTTGGGTTTCTTGCCAGGCAGAGAAGTATCAGTTTGAGAATGAGCCAAGTCAGTATCTGCTACCTTACGCTTTCGAGATAGCGGATGAGATTCTTCACTGGCAACGTCTAAATCTTCTCCTTGGACTGGAACAATGGGATCAGCAACAAGATCGACTGATAGCGGATGAGATTCTTCAAGGTCATCTAAACTTTCTTCTTGAACTGGAATAAGAGGATTAATGAAGTTCATATCCAGTATTTGACATTCATCATCTGGTTCATCATGCTCTTCATCATGCTCACTATCTTCAACCAGCTTTTCAGTAGCTGCTGGACTATTATGCCCCGCAGAGTCAGACTCATGCATTGGCTTTGGTGACTCAGGCTGAACAGTGGTGTTGTCAACAGGTTCGGTGTCTCTGTCATTCGGTTCATTATCAACATTATCATCAGCATCATTGACGGTTGCAATGTAGTAAAACTCGTAAACTTGTTCAGGGAAGAACTCTGATGGAACGTCACTGATTGCGTATCGAAGGCGGCAAGAGGCTAAGAAATTAGCAAAATCATCGAGTCCAAGACCTCGATGAACCTCGGGAATATCAGGGTTGAACACAACATTGGTGGCTTTAATGTATATTGGGAGAGGAGGAGAGTTTGGGGCAGGGATTACCCTTCGTGAAGTAGAAGAGAAGGTGAACAAAGAGGCAGCCATTAGAGAGTTTTTAGGGTTTTAGGGTTTTGAGTATAGGTGAAAGAAGGTTAGATTGTGGAAGGAAAGTTTGAAATAGGGAGAGAGGAGGTTTAAATATGGAATTAAACAGGCCTTTCAAAAAGGTAATGATTATCTTCTTTAAAAGAAAAATGACGTATCGTAACAACCTGTCAGATAAAAAGTAGCCATTAAAAAGTAGCCGTTGGGTAAAGGAGCCGTTGACTGAAGATGAAACGTCAATCAGTGTTTGCGGAAGCGCTGAGATTAGTGTCACAAAAATTACATGCTGAAAGTATATCTCCGTCAATTCAAGATACAGCTTGCTCAATTGAGGCTAGCAAGGAGATTGGTGCATGTGATAGATACTAGTTTCATTATCTAACCATCGGCACAGAGTGTTGTGACTTTATCAGTGAGTGGTTTATCTTACTGAATCATTAGACACTGAATGAGAAGAAGGTAAAGAGAGGATTGTTGCGTGTGATAAACCTTGGTGTTTTGGTCTAACCATCGACAAAGATTTTAGACTCTCATCAGCATGTGTTTTGGCACACTGAATCACATAATCAGTGTAAGATTGGTAAGAAGAGATAGTTGTGTGTGATAGATCTTGGTGTTTTGATCTAACCATCGACAAAGATTTTTAGACTCTCATCAGCGTGTGTTTTGTCACGCTGAATCACAGAATCAGTGTAAGATTGGTAAGAGGGGATAGTTGCGTGTGATAGATCTTGGTGTTTTGATCTAACTATCGGCAAAGAGTTTCAAGTTGTTATCAGTGTATGGTTTAGTACAGTGAATCATTCAACTTTAGTTTAGAACACTTGAAGAAGAGAGAAAGATGGGAGATCAAACCAAGTACTCAGTATGCAAATATCATCAGCAAGTCATCATCAGCACAATGTACATCAGCTTATAAGACAATACCAAACATTAGCACAATTAAACGGCAAAATTAATTACAATGTAATCATTCCAAGTTCTCCAATAATGTAAGCAGTTGTTTGAGAATCCAGTGCCTTAGTGAAGATATCAGCAAGTTGCTCTGAAGTCTTGACATGTTCAAGAACAACCTTTCCCTTTTCAACATTATCTCTGATGAAATGATGTCTGATTTCGATATGCTTCGTCTTTGAATGCTGAACAGGGTTTTGTGTGATTTGAATGGAACTGGTGTTATCACAATATATGGGAGTCTTTGAGAACTTGATCCCATAGTCGAGAAGCTGATTTTGAATCCATAATAGCTGGGCACAACATCTCCCAGCAGCAACATACTCAGCTTCTGCAGTTGAGATGGCTACTGATGTTTGCTTCTTGCTAGACCAGCTGATGAGACGATTTCCAAGGAAGTGACATCCACCAGATGTACTCTTTTTGTCTAAATTGCATCCTGCATAGTCTGAGTCAGTGTATCCAAAAAGTTCAAATGTTGAGTCGCGAGGATACCACAGTGCTAGGTTTTGAGTCCCTTTCAAGTATCGAAAGATACGTTTGACGGCCATGAGATGAGATTCCTTGGGATTAGCTTGAAATCGAGCACAGAGAATGGTTCCAAGCATGATATCAGGACGACTTGCCGTGAGATATAAAAGAGATCCAATCATTCCTCGATACAGAGAGTGATTTACATCAGTTCCAGTTGGATCAGCGTGTATCTTATCAGTCTTGGACACTGGAGTAGAGGCTGGTTTGCAGTCATTGAGAGAATACTTAACAAGCAAGTCAGAAATATATTTACTTTGGCAAATAGAAATACCTGACTTTTGTTGCTGAACTTCAAGACCTAAGAAGAAGGTCATCTTCCCCATCATGCTCATTTCGAACCTTTGAGACATGATCTCTTCAAATTCCTTGCTCAGCTTCTCATTTGGAGAGCCAAAAATGATGTCATCGACATAAATTTGAACAAGAACCATATCTGAGCCTTTGTTTTTGATAAAGAGAGTATTGTCGATTGCTCCTCGTCTGTATCCATTTTCAAGAAGATACGATGTCAGCGTCTCATACCAAGCCCTGCTTGCTTCAGTCCATAAACAGCTTTGTCTAATCGGTACACATAATCAGGGTGATCTTTGTCAACAAAGCCTGGGGGCTGATTGAGGAAAACTTCTTCTTCTAACACACCATGAAGAAAGGCTGTTTTCACATCCATTTGATAGACAATGAAATTCATGTAGGATGCGTATGCGAGAAACAGTCTGATTGCTTCAATGCGAGCAACTGGAGCAAAGGTTTCGCCGTAGTCGATGGATTCAATTTGAGTAAACCCTTGAGCGACAAGCCTTGCCTTGTTGCGAGTAATGATTCCATCTTTATCAACCTTGTTGCGATAGACCCAGCGAGTTCCGGTGATTGTCTTTCCTGATGGTCTTGGGACAAGAGTCCAAACTTTGTGCCTTTCAAACTCATTCAGTTCTTCTTGCATGGCCCTGATCCAATCAGCATCTTGAAGAGCTGTGTGAATCTTGTCAGGTAAGATCATTGAAACAAAATTAATATACATGCAAAAGTTATTAGATACACGAGATCTGGTTCGGACACCATCATGAATATTCCCAATAATTTGATCTACTGGATGATATCAATGTTCAGAAACTGATGTTGATTCCGGAGAGTTTGACACTGACAAGTTATCAGTTGCATGAGAGTCTTCAGCTTCAAGGATTTCATCAGCACCTAAAGAATTATCTGCTGATCTGGCTGCAGTATCTTGATTCAAGGAACATGGAACTGGAACGATAGAATCAGAAGAATCAGCTTCATCTCCAGCAGGAGGGACTTCGTCAAATGGACAAGAGAGAAGCTCTTGAAAAATAGAAGAGGAATGAGTGACTTTTTCATCAGTGTATGATTCCTCATCAAACTTCACATGAATGGATTCTTCAATGCATTGCCTGTTCACATGAAAAACATGAAAAGCCTTTGAAATAGATGAGTACCCAACGAAAATACCTTTATCAGCCTTAGGTTCAAACTTGGATCTTGGGTCACGCTGATTTAGAATATAACAAATACATCCGAATATGTGAAAAAAGGATACATCTGGCTTTCGATCTTTCAGCATTTCATATGGTGTCTTCTTATGAATCCTGTGAATTAGAGATCGATTCTGAGTGAAGCACGCTGTATTGACAGCTTGAGCCCAAAACGACATAGGAAGACCAACATGGATCATCAAGGTCCTTCCTGCTTCAATTAGTGTTCTATTTCTTCGTTCAGCAACTCCATTTTGTTGAGGAGTACGAGGAGCTGAGAAGTTTTGCCCAATTCCTTTATGATCACAAAATTCTTCAAGAGTCGAATTCCGAAACTCAGTACCATGATCACTTCTTAGCTGCTTAACTTTGAGACCTGTCAGTGTCTCATTTTTACGAATCAGTGAAATAATTTCTTGTGCAACATGACTTTTCTTCTTCAGGAAAACCACCCATGTAAATCGAGTGAACTCATCCACCACCACTAGAGTATACTTATTTCCACCTAGAGAACGGACAGGAATTGGTCCAAACAAGTCCATGTGGAGTAAATGAAGAGGGACTAATATACTGGAACATGACTTGGGTTTGAAAGAGGACTTGGTTTGTTTTCCTTGTTCACAAGCTGAGCACATCTTGTCTTTCACAACGCTGAATTTTGGAAGCCCTCTAACCAGATCTTGATTGGATATTTTGGATAGGTTCTTGAAGCTTAGATGAGAGAACCTTTTGTGCCAAATCCAGCTAAGATTCGTCTGAGACTTTGTAAAGAAGTATTGCATCAGTGCCTTGTCACTCGAGAACGTGTCAAGAACATATATGTCATCTTTTCTACTTGCTGAAAGTACGATGTTCTTGTCAGTGTTGACAACTCTGCCTTCCTTCTTTGTAAAGTGAACTTCATAGTTAGCATCACACAATTGACTGATGGAGATAAGGTTGTGTTTGAGACCCTTTACATATGAAACATTTTGAAAAACCACGTTATTGCATTTGATATTTCCATATCCTTTAGTGAACCCCTTTCCATTGTCTCCATAAGTAACTGCAGGACCAATTTTCTTGACATAATCTTCCAGGAGAGACTTTGATCCTGTCATATGCCTTGAGCAACCACTATCTAAGTACCAAAGATGCTCCTGACCCTGCAGTGCTGAGAAACTAGTTAGAACACACTGACCCATTCGAGGATGGGTCATTCACAAAGTTATTTGATAATAGATTATAACACTCCTTAGGAAGACAGTTTAAAGAATTTGACTTAAGAATCCATTTTTCATTTGTAACTTTAATATTATCAGCTCTTAAAGATGATTTATCAAATGAACATTCACTGATCTTGTGAGAGGTATCACCACATCTGTAACAAATTCTAGTACCAAAGTTCTTCTTGGTGAGCAAAATTTTGGATTTAACACATTTCGACATGTAAGATTCACCAAGAGAGCTTTGAATCCTTTTGTTTATCATTGAGTCACAACTGAATTCAGTGTCAGAAAGAATTTGATCAGTGTTAGATGATGAGCTATCAGTGTCTGATTTGGACTCATTCACAGATGAATTGCAATCAGGAAAATGCTTAAGTTGTTCATGAACAGCATGAAACACTCCATTTGAGATAGGAAAGGCAATAATATTCTCAGTGAGTGGAGTTGGTCTTACAAGATGTGTAGGGTAAGAGGTTGGATCAATTCCGGTAATTTCAACATTACACTCAGTAATACCATCAGAATTAGTAATACAATATTCATCAATTAAACTCTGATTAATAAAAGAGTTACTGACAAACTTATTTTTGAAATTGTTTTTCATCTCATTCATGGAATAAAACTCAGATTCCTTTTCTTGTGATTTAAAAACCTTTTCAGCTTCTGCAAAATTACCCCCAAGAATTTTCTCACATGAATGTGGAATTTGAGCAGAAATAATATAATTTGCATTCTTATGAGATTTTGCCCAAGTATGAAGCACAGTTTGTTCTTTGATCAAAAGATTTTTAACATTGTCAATTTCAGCAGACAA